TGCTGGGATTACAGATGTGAGTTGCTGCATCCAGCCTCTGGTACATCTTTTTATAAGCCAACAGGGTCTTTCCCTGTTGTTCAGGCTGGAGTGCAATGGTGTGATCCTAGCTCAGTGTAGCCTCAGACTCCTGTGCTCAAGTGATTCTCTAGCCTCAACTTCCCTAGCAGCTAGGACTACAGGTTCAGGCCACCATAGTACACTAATTAAAAGAAAAGTGGTAAAGACAGGGTCTTGCAATGTTGCCCACACTGATCTTGAACTCTTGGCCTCAAGCTATCCTCCCACCTTGGCCTCCCAAAGTGTTGAGACTATAGGCATGAGCCACCACACCTGGCCCCAGCTCCTTTTTTATGACTCTTATGTAATCATCAAGGCAATATTATATGCCTTATGGGTAATTTGGGGGATTCAAAATGTGAAAAGTAAAGAGCCTGACATCTGGTGGATACTCAAATTGTGATAGCTATAATTGCAATATCCACTTCAATAGAAGTGAAATGGTTTACAGGGCTTAAGAAATTCATGCCTGTGCTCAAAGGTATTGTTTAAACATGAACAGTGATGAAGAAGTCACATAAAAGGTAGTAGGAGTAGTTTATTCCAGTCAAAATGAAGTAAAGGAGCAGTACATTGATGGACCAGTAAATCAATGAGTTAAATCCAATTCATTCTTGGAGTCACATTTTGAACATATAGTTCTCCAGTTTTTATTGGGCCAAGGGCCTGATGCTGGAAAGAAAGCTCATTAAACTTAACAGAGATGTGTCAAGACTTCATCCTTTTGAGGATAGAGGGAATAAATTTAAAAACAATCTGACATTTTAATTAACTGGTTATATGAACATTATAAAACACACACGGGGTAATTGTGTGAGTATATTTATGTTAATAATAGTTAACAATGTTTGCAGCATTTCCCAGAGAGACTTATGAGTACTTTCTTCATATTAACTCAATTAAGCCTCACAATAACTTCATTAGATACTGTTATCTTTGTTTTACTGATGATAAAACAGAGGCACAAATAGGTAAAGTTACTCATCCAAAATCACAGATAGTAAGGGGCTGAGCTGGCATTCAAACCCAGGTGGTCTGGTTCATGAGCCTGCATTTGTGCTATATAATATTGTGTAGTACAGAATATTATCAAAATCCCTTTTAATAATTTCAACTGTTTAGTGACTTTTATGTATTCTATTTCCATGGCATTATTGTCTTTCCAGTAACCCAAATTAGAAAACTCAAGGTCATTTGGCTTTTCTCTCTTCCTTAATACATTCAGTCCACAGGGATTCTGGCTTCACACATTTTTAAAAAATTATCCTTTTTCTCCAATTCTACTGCATTCTGACCCAACTCAGGTTTTCATTATGCTTTGCCTAAACTGTGTTAGTAGTCCCTCAGCGTTCTCACCTCCAGCCCTACCCCTCAAGCCATACTTGACACATAGAAATGTGTTTATCTAAGAGAAAGCAGGTTAGAATTTACATATGGGGAAGACTTAAGTACAAACAGGCTATGTAGTTAACCTAAGGCTCTAGCAGAAATGATAACTATTTAATATCTCTTTTCCTTTCTTTGCTCCCTTCAAATTATACATGTGCACCTATTAAATGTATAAGCTCAAGAATAATAAAGGATAATCTAGAAACTTGACGATATTATGCTAAGTAGCCAGTTACAAAAGAACAACTACTGTATGATTCCACTTATGTGGCATGCCTAGAATAGTCAAATGCATAGAGACAGAAGGTAGAATGGTGATTGCAAGGGACTGGGGAAGGGAGAAATTGGGAGCTATTGTTTAATGGGCATGGAGTTTTGATTTTACAAGATGAAAGGAGTTTTAGAAATGAATGGTGGCGATAACAACATGAAAATGTAAATATACTCAATGCCATTGAAATGTACACTGAAAAATGGTTAAGATGGTAAATTTTATGTTATGTGTATTTTACTATAATTTAACAGAAAAGAAATATTAACAATCATCTAGATTTTATACAAAAAGTTGGAAAGCTTCCATTTTAGACTGATGACTTCTGGCATTTGTATCATGGTTCACATGTTTATATTATATCATGTTATTTCATCCTAAAGACAACTCTATAAAGTGGGAAGCATAGTTATGATCCTTATCCTCAACTTTATTTTTGGGGAACTTGAAACTCAGCTGGATTAAATGACCTGCCTGTGGCAAAACCTGGTCAATGGTACTGGAGCTTGACTTAGTGAAAAGTCAGTGCTTTCCTAGATGTGACTTTCAGCTTCTATTCTAGCAAACAGCATTAGAAATTTAATAACAGGTCTATTTCTTGAACGGTATTGCCTCGGTTTTCTTCTAGGGTTTTTATGGTTTTAGGTTTTATGGTTAAGTCTTTAATCCATCTTGAGTTAATTTTTGCATAAGGTATAAAGAAGGGGTCCAGTTTCTGTTTTCTGCATATGGCTAGCCAGTTTTCCCAACACCGTTTATTAAGTAAGGAATCCTTTCCCCATTCCTTATTCCTATTAAATAAGGAATCCTTCCCCCATTGCTTCTTTTTGTCAGGTTTGTCGAAGATCAGATAGTTGTAGATATGTGGTGTTATTTCTAAGGCCTCTGTTCTGTTCCATTGGTATATATATCTGTTTAGGTACGAGTACCTCGCTGTTTTGGTTACCATAGCCTTCTAGTATAGTATCTACTATTTCTCCAGCTTTGTTCTTTTTGCATAGGATTTTCTTGGCTATACAGGCTCTTTTATGGTTCCATATGAAATTTAAATAAGTTTTTTCTAATTCTGTGAAGAAAGTCAATGATAGCTCGATGGGAATAGCATTGAATCTATAAATTACTTTGAGCAATATGGCCAATTTCACTATATTGATTCTTTCTATCTACGAGCATGGGATTTTTTTCTATTGGTTTGTGTCCTCTCGTTTCCTTGAGCAGTGCTTTGCAGTTCTCCTTGAAGAGGTCCTTCACGTCCCTTGTGAGTTGTATTCCTAGGTATTTTATTCTCTTTGTAGTAATTGTGAATGGAAATTCACTCATAATTTGCCTCTCTATTTGTCTGTTATTGGTGTATAGGATTGGATTTCCAGCCTGAAGAGTGAGAGTAGGAGAGAACCTGAAGGACTGCTGTCCCTGAAAATGTGTTCTGGCTGGTGCCATTTGAATTTGCCCCACCATGATGTGAAAGTTACCCATTCCAGTGGATAGATTATGTGCTGAGAATTTGGAGGCTACTTTCATCAAGAATATCATATTACTTGATTAAGAATTCTGCATGAAGAAAGTCAACCATGAAGAATGAGAAGAGTGTAGACCTTGTAACTCATCATCCCTTTCTTTGTAAAACACCAGTGAAATGAGATGGAATTTTTCTGCCTTAGATCAGCCGAACTTGTGGTTTTTCTCTGGCTTAAAGGAGAGAGGATGTTTTGAAATGACATTTTTCTATTTCTAGATGACATAATGTAATGCATGAAATAACTTAAAAAACTCAAGTTGTGGCCGGGAGTGGTGGCTCATGCCTGTAATCCCAGCACTTTGGGAGGCTGAGGCAGGTGGATCACCTGAGGTCGGGAGTCCTGAGACCAGCTTGACCAACATGGAGTAACACTGTCTCTACTAAAAATACAAAAAATTAGCCAGATGTGGTGGCAGATGCCTGTAATCCCAGCTACTCGGGAGGCTGAGGTAGGAAAATCGTTTGAACCTGGGAGGCAGAAGTTGCGGTGAGCTGAGATGGCACCACTGCACGCCAGCTTGAGCAACGAGCGAAACTCGATCTCAAAGAGAAAAAAAAAAACAAACCAGCCGGGCGCAGTGGCTCACGCCTGTAATCCCAGCACTTTGGGAGGCTGAGGTGGGAGGATCACGAGGTCAAGAGATTCAGACCATCCTGGCCATGGCGAAACCCCGTCTCTACTAAAAATACAAAAATTAGCCGGGCGTGGTGGCATACGCCTGTGGTCCCAGCTACTCGGGAGGCTGAGGCAGCGGAATCGCTTGAACCCAGGAGGTGGAGGTTGCAGTGAGCCAAGATTGCGCCACTGTACTCCAGCCTGGCAACAGAGCAAGACTCTGTCTCAAAAAAAAAGGCCGGGCGCGGTGGCTCACGCCTGTAATCCCAGCACTTTGGGAAGCCGAGGTGGGTGGATCACGAGGTCAAGAGATCGAGACCATCCTGGCCAACATGGTGAAACCCCGTCTCTACTAAAACTACAAAAAATTAGCTGGGCATAGTGGCGCGTGCCTGTAATCCCAGCTACTCGGGAGGCTGAGGCAGGAGAATTGCCTGAACCCAGGAGGCGGAGGTTGCGGTGAGCCGAGATCGCGCCATTGCACTCCAGCCTGGGTAACGAGTGAAACTCCGTCTCAAAACAACAACAACAACAACAAACTCAAGTGGGTGTGTGTGGGAAACGAGTGGGTATATAGATGAATCAAGATTGCATGGGTGATAGTTTTTGAAGCTAGTTGATGTATACATCCAGATTCACCATACTTATTATTCTTTCTATATAAAGTTAAAAAACATTTTCTCAGTGTTTTCTGTAGGACACTGTGAAAAAAAAGAGGGAGGTGAATGCTACAATTAAAGTTTTGAAAGCACTGTTTGGGAAACACTAGATTTTTTCTCCTTGAAAGTCACAGTGTGTATTAGCATATTAGAGACTGAGGAGTACTTCATTAAAGAGACCTTTTAAACACAGTTTAACCCATTTCTATTCCCAAAGCTAACTTGACTATAGAGACTGATTTTTTCCTACGCACACCTGTTAACAACTTGTCAAACTAGCATTTCATGGGACAAGGCACTTCAGTTAGTCTGTTTTAAAAGATCATGGTGTGACTGTTCACAAGAGAGAACAAGAACCAAGGACAGTTTCCTGCTCTGTCTGCCAAGAACAGCTTTTCAGAATTGGGGAAGATTTATTTTTCTTGGATCACAGAGGAAAAGCAAGGGAACCACCTGCTGATTCAGAGTCAAGCGAATCCAACAAACCTTACAGGGGTGTCTCAGACCGGCTCTGGGTGCTGGGTTATACATACACAGCAGGAAAAGACCGTGTCCAATGATAAAAGGAAAGGCATCCGGGGTCAGATAGCCTGGGGTCAAATCCTGTCTCCACCATTCCATCTGTGTGACCATGGGCAAGTCGCTTAACCTTTTTGTGCCTCAATTTCTTCATCTATAAAATAGGAATAATACATTTTACAAAACTTTATAGAATGGTTGCCAGATTTGGCAAATAAAAATATAGGATGCCAAAATATTGCATGGGACATACTTATACTAAAAAATTATTTGCTATTTATCTGAAGTTCAAATTCAAATGATCATCCCATACTTTATTTAACAACTTTACTTTAGAGGATTGTTGAGAGGCTTATGTGATACAATTCATACTAAACACTCAGAACAGTGCCTTGTATGCAGTAAGCACTCAATTGACTATTGGTTATTATTAATATGACTACTTTAATCATGAACATCTTTTTAAAAAATTCTGGTTCTCCTAATAATTTTCTAAGACTTTTCTCATTTGTATAATTTAACCACTTATAATCAAATACTCTCTTCAGTCAATAAAAATAAGAAACTGATGTTTTCTGGCTTAAGTACTTAGATGGAAGTTGTTTTATAAGGACCAAGAAAGATGTATTAAGTTGCCCTTCATCTATCATTAATGAAAGAAAGCCGTGGTAGGAAAAAATAGTTAACATCAGCTTTGTGAAATATTAATTACTTTTTTTTTTTAGTTCTAAAAGAGCTAGCTTTGTATTTTGATTTTCCTTAGGAAATAATTAGCTTGTAGTCCCTGAATACAGGAAACCCAAAACAATTTGGGAGTCAAGGGGAGTTAGCCTGGGCTAACTTGGGTAAAATATGGAGGAGGGAATACACCATGTACAGTGAACTTGGAGTAACTTGGAATTCTCAGAGGATTGCCACTCAGACAGCTTGTCACAGGTTTGCAGTATTACAAGCATGGCAGATACAGTACAATTTCTACAGTCCCTACACTTCCTTCATGTACACATTAGCAAGAAAACTATTGATAGAAGTACAAGCCTAGCTCACATGGGTTTTCCTAAAGAAGACACACAATATTATATATGTATATATTTTTTAGTGCAGAAGTCTGACAATTGATGAATCATTTGTAAATAAATTAATAGTATGTTTCTCTGGTTTTCTGTCATTGTTGACTCATGACCTAGTAAAGATTTGCTGGACTATAAGAGTCATGATTCAGATAAGCACATGGCTATCACATATTTTGTAGAAAGTAAAAAGTTATGAATATCCCATGCTGAAAAAAATGGAACTTTAATTTTTAAGGAAGAAGTGACTTTCCTCCAAATTTAAAAAATAACTTGAGTATACTTATAGAAAGAAAATGTACCTACTTATCAGCCCACTTTCATTATCTCAAATAAAAAAATGTAGGGAAGAGAAAGAAAAGAGAGGAAAGACAAGAAGCAGCTTAGAGGCAGAGAATGAGTGAAATGGAAAAAAGATACAGAAACAGAAAATCAGACTCTTAGGTAACATGATGAATCCCTTCACTTTGCAAACCCTCTTTCCATCTATTTTCAAACAATGTCAATAGTATATTCTCTTTTCCTGACATCAGCCTCCCCCTCCACTTTTGTTCATAACTGGTCACACGTACCAATGATTTTAATCATCAACTAAATCTATATATCAGGAAGTCATCCTAAAATTCCAAATTTAGATTCACTTTATGCTTCAAACATGTTCACAAATATTTGTTCTAATTTCCTGATAAACAAAGGTGAAGGGACTACTTAATTCAGAAAATAACTGTTTTTTTGGCTTACAAGCAAACAATCAGTAAATTGAATGAAGCCAGCTTAGCTCTTAGTACATAAACAGCACCAGCTGTGGCTTCTTCGTGACTGGTATGGCTGTCAAAAGGAATCTGAATTCAAGGCAATTTAAAGTAAGTAAATAAATAACATTAGGAAAAGCAAATGAAAAGCAGCCCCTAAAAAAACAGCGACCAAAAAAATAGACCTTTTTGTTAGGACACGTTAGGTCTTCATTAAGAGGAACTTGAAAAACTGGATTATTCACTTTCTGAGTCTGAGCAGAGCCTGGTCTCCGGGGGAACGATCCAAGGGTAAAATGAAACCTGACACTTGCCTTATCAGTCTCTGCTGGGAACACAATTTTAAGGAAAAAGCAATGAGAAAAGTCTACTTACCAAAGTCACAAACTTCAGCTCCTTGGCTAGTACACCTTGGTCTAGCCAGAGAAAAAGCAGAAGCAAGAAGCCAAGGCTAAGGCTTGCTGCCCTGGCCACGAGGAGGGGCACAGCTCTCATGCTGAGGAGCTCTGTTTCTGGCAGGAGGTAGGAGGAACTGCTACCACTTCAAAAGCCTGTAGGGGGTAAGCTATTTAATTAAGGGATTGAAAGGGAAGGAGGAGCCACACTCATAAGCAGTAAAGTTTCCAGGAAGCGTAGGGCAGGTTTGGTATGTAAATAATGCCATGTAATTTTTGAGCTGAGAGAGATCACAGTTTCCTTCATTTAAGTTAGGACACCAAGGCCAAGAGTGGAGAAAGCTGTTGCTCAAGGTCACAGAGCATGTTAGTAGACATATCTATCTAGTCTTGTTTTCAGTTTACTTTTATCTTTTCTTTAGACGGAGTATGATACAGCGTTGGCTTTGTGGCTGTCACTTGGGGAAGGGATCTTCCCTGACTTTCGAAACCTTAGATTCTTAATCTTTTGGGAGTCAAAGTTGTAGGAAGTGAAATCTGGAAGGAAATACAGTTATTGACATATTTCAGGCATATTTCCATGACTCCTTTTTCAAAAACTCTCATGTAGCCTATAGAGGTATTTTTAAATTAAAGAAAAAAAGTAAGAGCAAGTTTATTTTGAAAAATTTTAGTCACACCTTAAGACAATTGGAGATTACCTATGGCATCTAAAAATTAGGAATGAAGGTCCCTTTCCAAACTGATAGAATTTTTTAAGAAAGCAAAATGCCCAAACCTACGACTCTATGTAATTAGTCATCAACTTTGGCCATAAGCCTTACATTCTGAGTGAATTACATCCTTGCCTCTCCAGCTATATGATCTCTTTGGGGATGCCACAAAAGACTATCTAGACTGATGAACTTTGATTTCCATTTTTCCCAACTGTCAGTTCCATCATAGGCTAAAACAATACAAACTTGAGGTGCACATTGAGATTTTGCAAGATTAGGGGGCAGAGCTGCCTGTCATGATAATTTTACCCTAATTACAGAGGGAGTACAATGGTTTACCCACAAGTTGTTTCCTGGTACACTGTGCTTACCTGTGACAGGAGGATTGTGTTCTTATGCGATCATAGGATGCCCTGGAATGTGGTACATGGGAGAGGTGTTGCTTCTTCTGATACAAGGAAATATGTGCAAATAGGCTGGATGTGGTGCCTTACGCCTGTAATACCAGCACTTTGGGAGGCTGAGGTGGGCAGATCACTTGAGGTCAAGAGTGCAAGACCAACCTGGCCAACATGGTGAAACTCTGTCTCTACTAAAAATACAAAAATTAGCCAGGCATGGCAGTGGGCACCTGTAATGCCAGCTACCTGGGAGGCTGAGGCAGGAGAATCGCTTGAACTTGGGAGGCTGAGGTGGCAGCGAGCCAAGATCACATCACTGTACTCTAGCCTGGATGATAGAATGAGACTCTGTCTCATAAAATTAAAAAGTGCAAATAATAAATGCATGTGTGATTAGGATTAGACATTCAAGGGAACTTGCAACCTTCTCTTTGCCATTACATTCTCCACCTGCCAGTCCACACTGTCAATTTTAGTGGGTAAGATTTTGAGGAAATGAGTGCAAGGAAAAGGAAATAAAAGTTTGGAGGTTTTCCAGTCCAGGGAATTCATGAAGTTGATACATTAATCCCTGCGGTGCACCAGGCAATCTGAGAAAGGAAGCTCCAGCACCTACTTACCATTCACAGGCGAAGTTCTAAACCACATTTCTTAAATTGTTCCAGACGCTTGATTCTATTGAATGTCTTATTTTTTCAGCTGGCTTCCTGGGTCCTTGTTCTTCTGTCTCCTTCATTGTCTCGCTCTTAGATTGGTGCCTGGAACTATTTTAGCAATAGCCTTAGACCTTCCTGATGATGACTGATTCTTTAATCTACCTATGCCATGTTGCACTGGTTGGATAAACCCTCTTCCTGACCCAAATCCTAATTTTTCTATGGTACCTCCTCTGGGCTCCTTTGAGTTAAATACATCTCAACTCAAACTTAATCCAAGTTTATACTTCTATCTCAGTCATCACCCTTACTTCCACTTTGATTATCAGGTTATAAGGGGAGGAGAAGTATTCAAAATTGTAAATGTAGAGTCTTGAAAAACCTGAACACCATGAAATTGAGTCTAAAAGATCTTCAACTCAGATGAAACCTGTTTTAGAATGTTCTGTGGCCCCTTGAACTTTGAACTCAACAAAGTCTTTGCAAAGACAGAAAGGTCATCTGGGATAAATATATGGGTATAGTATGGATTAGTCCACTTAAGTATGAAGAAATACTTAAGACTAGGTAATTTATAAAGAACTTTAATGGACTCAGAGTTCCACATGGCTGGGGAGGCCTCACAATCATGGTGGAAGGTGAAGGAGAAGCAAAGGCACATCTGAGCAGTGCAGGGCAGATGCCCTTTATAAAACCATCAGATTTCACAAGACTTATTCACTATCACAAGAATAGCGTGGGAAAAGCCCTCCCCCATGATTCAATTACCTCCCACCAGCTATCTTTCATGATGCAGGGGGATTATGGGAGCTATAACTCAAGATGAGATTTGGGTGGGGACACAGCAAAACCGTATCATAGTAACATCAAAAGTGATATTTGGAAAAACACTGGGAAGTCTTTATGTAAGAGTGAAGGGTATCAATAATTTTCCATGATTAGTACGATTTACTGACTAAATCACTTGTGTTCTCTTGTTGTCCTTCTTTATATGTCAAGTGTTCAACTTCTAATAAGTTGCTCTAATGAACAGTGTTATAAAGTTCCATAAATGGAGCAGGTTAGGATTTTTGAAAAGCAGACACCCAGATAGAGATTTGCATAAACATTTGCATGGAGGAAGTTTATTAGGGCGTGCACTCAGGATTAACAGCAGTGCGGGGAAGAGAAATAAGCCAGGTTGGGAAGAGGGAGAAGTTGATTTGTAATGCAATATTATTGAAGAACTTAGCTGACTCTGTTGTGAGTTCTGAAGATCAGAGGGCCTTTCAGGGTTGCCAGACCTTTTTTATTAGTCAGTCATTGAATGCAGTCTGCCCCTGATAGGGAGTATGACCATGGATAAGGCAAAAGTAGACTCTCTCTGACAAAATAATTCCCAAAGGGGTTGCTAGCTGAGTGATGTGCAAACAAATTTCCAAGAGCTGGGAGCAGTGAATCCTTCAGTTCATGGGGAAGAACTTGGGCAGTGTACCATAGATGCTATGATGACAAACACTTATAGGAAAAAAATTTGTGATTCTTAGTAGACCACAGCCTATGAAAGCACTAAATATGCCTCTGACAGAAAGAGTCTGAGTTGGAGGTGAGATCCATCAGTAAGTATATGGCTGTTCACCAGCATCCACAGGGAAGACTATGTTTAACCTGGCTTCTTACGGCCTTCATAATTGTATTATATGATTCTTGGGGCCTTATGAACTATTGGGCACTCAATAATATTGATTGACCAACTGTCAATATAAAGGCAAATGATTGCATCAGAGCCTGTTACAATGTGAATTGCTTTGAGGCAACATTTATTAAGATGGCTTTAGAATAAACATTCTCCTCCTCTCAAACCATCATTTTGTGGAATTTTTTGTTGACCTTGACATACAATAGCCATTTTATTGTTTGATATTTAGACATACATCCCCCCATAAAACCAAAGACTGTATCATAAGAATGTCATCAAAGTCAGGTGCAAGTACCAAGGGGATTCATGAAATGGTCTAACACTTTAAAAGGTAAAAAAAAAAAAAAAGTGTCATTAAAACTCTTATTTCTGTTTCTTTTTTACCTAAGAAAGAAAGAAAAGATTTATAATGGAAATTTATTCACAAGAGACTGCTTTAAAATGGACTATTATATGGCCATTAAAAAGGGATCCAAGAACTGATACCTGCTACTACACCATGGATGAACCTTTAAAATATTAGTCTAACATTGCTTCTAAGTAGACTACATATTTGTATGATGCCACTTATATTAAATGTTCAGAATAGAAAAATCTTAGGAAACAGCCTAAGACTTTTTTAAGATTGCCTAGGATGGGGAAAAAGAAGGCGGAGGGTGATGGCTAAGGGATATGGGTCTCTTTTTGGGCTGATAAAAATACTCTAAAATTGATTGTAATAATACTTGTACAACTCTGAATATACTAAAAACCATTGAATTGTACACTTTAAAGGAATAATTTTTATGACATCTGAATTATATCTCAATAAAGCTGTTATCTAAACAATTTACCACAAAATTAATATTCTAATGTTTGATATAAAAATGGCAATAGAAGTATATCCTTAATAAACAAACACATATCTATCACCTGTAACACTGATGGAGTCCATGATTGAACCAGTTTGAACATTACTAAATTAATATTAATTATAAAATATAATATATATATAAACTTGGAGTATTAAACTTATCTATTTCTGTGAAACAAATTAATACAAACTTAGTGGCTTAAAACAACACACAATTTCTTATCTTTTTCCTGAGTCAGGAGTCTATGTATAACGTAAAAGACCTTTCTGTTTAGGGTTTTTCATAAGGTGTTAGCCAGGCCTGGGATCCTCTACTAGCTCCTGTAGTTGTTGGCAGGAATCAGTTCCTTGCAAGCTGTTTGAGGGCCCCAGCTCCTAAATTGCTGGCTGCAGTGTGGAGGCTGCCTTCAGTTCCTTGCTACCTGGGTCCCTCCAACAGGCCTGTTTAAATCATCAGAGCATGCAAGCTAAGGCAACAGAGAAACTTCAGAGATCATCTTTCCAGGACTTCATAAAATTTACCATCTGTAAGAATTTCCCGGAAAGCTTCGTAAAATAGACTCCTGGCCTCACTCCCAGAAATTCTGATTCAGTGGATTCAGGTAAGATGAGGAACAGTGTCCTGCTAGGACGTAGTGGTGCCTAAGGCAAAAGGCAGAGATCATTAATATCAATCCTCTCATTACAAGAAGTTCCGAAATGTTGTTTATCAACAATTGTTTAACATTAATTTTTATATTTTAAAAATTTGCCTTAAAATATTCCTTCTTTTGCTTACAGGGCTTTTGGTACACCTTAAGTGTTGTGCCC